AATATCTTTAAGACTCTCTCCCCTGTTGTTTGAGTCTGTCTGTCTGGTTTGCTATATGTCAACTTCATATAAAAAGAAGTTGTCTCCCACCACTCAGTGTTAGCATTTGGTTGTTGGATGCCATTTTTGAAGTAGTTACTATGGGTTTTTTGGTTTTGCTTTTTTTTTCTTTCTTTACATATAAGTAATAAGCAAACATAATGGAACGGATCAGAGTCTGATTATTTGCAGCCCATGTAACTAAAGATTGCACAGGAGGCTTGTTATTTTCTTCTCCAAGATTCCTGTTCCCTTTTTAACCTGGAGCTGTTTCTGTTTTAAAGTGCAGGCTTGGAATCTAAATGTTTTCATGTCTGAGTGGCTGTGGCTCCCAAGCTTCCTAAAAAATTATATGTGAAAAGACTTCCTAGGGAGATACTGGCTATATAACAGTGTTTTCTATTCAGATTATGTATAGCAAAACGTTTCATGGGGAGCTGGCACTGATCAGTCAAACTCTTCTGACTGAGCATCCTAACAGCCCCTAGGAGAGATTTTTGGTTTTGCTATGGACATGATTCAACAGGTGCATGGTTTGGGAGGTATATGGTAATGTGAACTGTCATGTTCAAATTCCTGGTAAGCTAAAATAAACTCAAAACGATCAGTTTGACAGGAAAAAATAATTACTTTGCTGACTTCTGTAAAGGCAGAACTGTTCCTTGCTATGCCAAAATTATTCTGGTTTTAGGTAATTGTAATAGATTATTTTTAAACTGTATTAGTGGTACTTAGTTGCAGATCATTTTGATAATTAAAACTATTCTTAAATTGACTGATCCTTACAGTTCTGTTAAGATCTGAGGTGACCACAGAGCAAGACTAATGAGAGAAGACTTGTAAGCGAAGGAGACAGGAAGGATACTGATGAAGAGATGACTAGAGGTAGATTTTGGAAGTAGAACTAGAGAGAGAAGAGAATGACCTTGTGCCATTGAGCTATAGCATAGGAACCCAAATGCAGAAAACCAAAACAAACAGCCAAAATACACTTTTATCTTAAAAGGCTATGATGAACTGTAGGTAACTCATGGAAGAGAGTGACAAATCTAGGAACCATTTTAATTTTATGTTAGCAAGCAAATACTTGGGGTGAGGGGCAGGTTGTGAGGTTGCAAGAGTTTCACGTTCTTCATTACTGCTTCAAGAAGAGACACAATGCAAACTGAAGAGTTTCCGTTTCGGTAGTTGTTTTAAAACAACTATCCACCCGAGAGTCCTGAGAGAGCTGGCGGATGTCATTGCCAAACCCCTGTCCACTGTCTTTGGACAGTCTTGGCTCACTGGGGAAGTTCCGCTGGACTGGAGGCTGGCGGATGTTACCCCCATTTACAAAAAAGGGCGGAAGGAGGATCCGGGGAACTACAGGCCTGTCAGTTTGACCTCGGTGACGGGCAAAGTCATGGAACAGGTTATCTTGAGTGCTATTAATGAGCACATACAGGTTAACCGGGTGATCAGGCCCAGTCAACATGGGTTTATGAAAGGCAGGTCTTGCCAATCAAACCTGATCACCTTCTATGACAGGGTTGACGAGGGAAGGGCTGTGGATGTAGT